CAATGGTTTTTTCGACTTTTTAGGCTCTGAAGAAGGCGAACTCGCCGAAACGTTAGCCCTATAAAGTTTAGAATCTTGGAAAGGCTGAGGCAAATAAACGTACATATCGGTGAAAAGTCATGCCAAGATTAAAAGAAAGTCGATCGTGGTATATCTTATTATAATTTTGCAAATCAAATAATTTCAAGTGTTTTTTGAGCCTTACTTTATTACATATGTTGGAAATGGTAGTGGAAACCTACCTTTCTTTTTTCGTCGGATCGCCTCCCTATCACTCACTGGAATTGATGCTTATAGTATATTATTGTTAAAGAAGAAAACATAAACTATCTTAACAACGATATCTATAGTTTACTATTTCAAATACACTAGCATCGTGGTTCCATACTTGTAGCTTCTCTGCTGAGTCGTCTCACTGAACCAGCCCTCACTGAAATCTTTTGTTTGTACATACTTTTTCGTTTCCCTACATTTTGTAAATTTTAGAAACTTTTTCATAGTTCAGATCTTGCTGCCGCGTTTGCAGTACGCGTTGGCGCGTTGTCACACACATCCCAGTTCATCAGTCACATCCGCTCTGTGTAGTACCGTTCCCGGTAGTGTATCTGGGGCCGTAAGGTACGCTCTCCTGTTCGGGGCTAGGACGCCCCGATTAGGGTCTCTCTCTCTGCTCTCCCCGAGAGCATCTACCTCTCTGCTCTCCCCGAGAGCATACCTCACCGGGTAGGGGACCCTCTCCTGTTCGGGGGAGCATACGCCCCTGGTTATGCAAGTGGGGACGTGGCCGTTGGACATCGACCGCTAGCAGTTTATCAGCGCCAAGTCTAGTTGCAACTCTCTACTACATTCGCTATCCACTATAATACTTGGGTGTACCCAGGCACCTTCTTAGGAGTTCTAACATGGTCTTGGCATATGAGTGAAAGTCCAACTAGCTCCCTGGTGCTGAACATAGAACATACATATTGAGTGCGGTACAGCAACACATTGTTGCAAGCCGATTTCCAAAGGACTCTATTTTTCAGATCTTCCAAGACGTGAATGATTACTGCATTGGGTCCCCCTTATGGAAAGGAACGATTGCGTCATCATTCAAGATATAACCTTAGTAAGAACTTCTTTTCTCTTACCATCAGGCTCTCTTGATCCCGCATCGGCACTTCCTGTAAGAGGCAGTTTTAGAAGCAACTAAAACAATGAATCAATTCTGAATAGCTATAGATTTCCTCACCCATTGTTTCCTTACTTTTCATGGGCTTTCCTGGAAAAGTAGTATGGCTTATTCAGAACTTAGCCAATTTCCATTGCTTTTTCACTACACACTGGTTGGTGCCGTTGCACTTTGGGTGAAAGTTCGTAGTCTCGAGGCATTTGGATATCTATTGAGTTCATTCTGTTTTCTAGGAAATGTTGAAGTTCTTGGCTATGTTGCTGCCCAGGCAATGGGTCCTCAGGTGTCAAAGTAAAGGACCGGGCTGTTTCCTTTCATGGTAGGCCGATTTATCAAGAATGCTAGAGAGTGAAATGAAAGAGATCAGAACGAGGAAATTACTTACTCTCAGCTCTTCCTTTCGTGATAGGTCTTCGAAAAACTAAAATGTACAAAAATCATACAAACCGAGAACTTTTCAGTTCTCTCATATTCCCATCCTTTACATTCATATTGTTGAACAAAAATTAACTATGAATTTTGCTTACTTTCTGGCTTTTCTTTTCGGACTGGCTTACGAGACATGACTAAAAGGTTTATAAACATTATCAATCGATGCATTCGGTTTATTTTGCTTTATCTAAGTTTTATTGTCATGTTGTTAAGATAATGAATGTGGACTCCAATGAAAACATCTAATATCTCACCTACAGGTTCTTTTGATCCCGCATCAGCACTTCCTGTAAGTGGTATCTTCAAAAATAGCTAAGGCGATGGAACTTACTCCAGTTAGCTAAAGTTCTCCTCACCCATGGCTTCCTTACTCTTCATAGGCTTGTCTGAAATAGTATACAGATCCTTTGAAAGTGGGTAGGCTTCGACTGTTTCTTTTATTCAATTTCAAACTGACAGAACTGCTTGCCATTATTATACGAGACTATTCTTCTTGGTGAAAATGGTAGTGGTCGAGACATTTCGTTACCTCTGAGGAATTCCAAAGCCATTGACTCTATTGTTCATCCTATAGTGTTGGATGGGGTCCTCCGTATCATATCAAACCCCGCCGTGGCGGGCAGGTCGTGAATCCTCAGCATCAAGGAAAGGCCCCGGTTGTTTGTCCCGGGCGGGGTGCGATCCGCAATTGGTGTGGGTCCGAATCGAAGTTCTAGTGGAACCACCATCATAGTCTAATTCTTGTATCATCTACGGTCATGACTTGTTAGGCCTGAACTTGAGGTTGTCGCTTTTTCGTGTCATTTTCTTCCATGGCAAGCAGCTTTGTTAAGAAACCTTCAAAATGAATTCAAAGCGAGACTGATTGAAAATAAACTTTCCTACTTTCTGCACTTCCTCTCATAGCGGGTCCTCGAATCTCTGAAATATATGGGAAGTCGGGTTATCTCTCATTCCACATCAATCACATCGATGCTGGTTATGGAATTCCTCTCACTTTTTGCACTTTCTTTTCGGGCCGTCTCACCAGATATAGCTGAAACATTCACGAACACTATTCATTCACATTCACATTCACAAAATTTTTATTGGCTTCTATATTGTTACATAATCAAAAGGGAAATTATAAAGAATGAATTCAACTAACCTTCTGGGCTTCCTTTTGAAAGACGCTCTGGACTGGCTACTGAAAGTGTTAGCGTCTTTTTTCTTTCACTCAAAGGGTTTTGAACTGTACTTCAACATTTTTGAATTTGGCTCTGGTACAGGTACAAGGTTACTGTAGTGTCCTTCGCATCATTGCACGCAATCGGGTGCTGGGAGCGCGAGGGGGTTTTCAGGGTGAGGTAACCACTTCCCGGGTGAGGGCACATCCGAACGAATGGTGAGTCGGTTGTACAGACTACCAAAATATGACTCTCTCTCTTCGCTGAACTATTCCCCCTTCCACCCTGTAGCCCTAGTCCTGCACCGACGGATAGCCACCCTTCAGGCCGCTTGATGAGAACAAATAGCGCTGATAGACATGAAATTATCAGTGGCATAGTGGTGTAGGTCCACTGATGTATACGATGTTGAACAAAAAATGTCCAAGAAAAAAAAAGTAAAATGAAAAGCAACCTCAGTGGATCGGAAATTTTGTGACAACCTAACAAAAAAAATCATATGATTCGGTTGGTTATAAGGTTTTTTGGTTTTTCCGTTTTTCCTTGTTTTCCAAATATGCACTCATTCGAGAATTCATCGAAATATACGGTATGAATGCGAAAAGAAAAATCATGATCCCTCACTTCGTTCTGCACTCCTTAAATAGGGAGGCACATTCGAATCGTCTTGCTCTTTTTTATCTTCCTGTTTCTTATCTTCTGAATGTTCAAGCCCAATTAGCGGTTGTGAGACAGAAATTTGAAAGGAAACAAAAAGAAAAAACAGGAGGAGGAGCTAATCTTACTCTCAGCACTTTCCTTTGGTATGTTCTCTTGACCTTTCACTGTAACTATCTATATGATCAGGGGAAAAAGTAACAAAAAGTGGTGAATCGTTTTTACCTTGATCGGCACTCCCCTTCAAAATGGGTTCGCGACTATCCACTGAAAGTATCGGCGAGTAGTTCTTCAAAGGCCTTTCGGGCGTTTTTTAGATAGGCAAAACATTTTAGGCCGAATACTCGAGACATTTCAAACCACGACTTAACTTAGGTTACGATACAAGGAGAATTGTAATAAAAAATTCTGGGCGATTGGGGTGAAGCTCAGAGAACACAAGCCTTTTTTCTTTTCCTTTTTCGCGGACGGGGTAACTATTAGAATGCTATTACCGTAATTAGCATAAGTATGCCCCTAATTAGGGAACTCTTTCCTCAAGTTTAGAATAGTGGCAAGATTGCTATTTTTATGGTTTTATGTTGATTACCAGTTGCCACCAATGACTGGTCCATAAGGTATAGGGTATAATTGATAAAATGTTGTACGCATGACTTACTTTTTTCTATGGATTCAAAGGCGAATTTTTCTACAGAGAATCACCGTAGGAAAGAATCGAAGGGAAGTCTGAAAGGTCCGCTTGACTGCAGTGGAATCATTCATTACGACTTATTCAGTCAATAGATTACATGTATGCGGAATCACAGACAAGTCGTTCAATGTTTGACGTAACCCCGTCTGCGAGCGCGACGTGACAACTACATAGCTAGGAATCGCCGTGGATTGAAAGCGGATCGTGTAGGCCACATACTCCTATACTGGCATTCGGTGGACGTTTCTTTAGCAGAAACGATAATTACCAATTTATCTACACTAACAGGTGGTTTTTTCATCAATCATAGGACTGGACTGCCCCTTCCTCGTCTACCTCAGAGACTTGTTGAGCGTGCGCTCGGCGCTATTGGGTATTGAGGACATGGTTGTTGGAGTGCGGTATCTTCCTCCCGATCCTCGTGTCGCGCTTGCCGCACTCGATCGCGCGATATGAAGGGAAAGAATCAAATTCTCAATGGGAGGATACGGCAGTCGCGGCGGAACCGCTGCATTGAGAAATCGGGAAGAAGTCCCGTCACCCGGAGTTACTGTATCACACGTTCACGGAACTTTAAAACCTGACTGGATGCTTTTCGAAGGGTTGGATAGATGTGATCGATCACGACATCGATTGTTACCGTCAGCACGGCTAGCATCGATTTTTCAATTGTTAACTTTCGATTGATGAGGACGCTGATAGCTTCTGGTCCTTATGATGACAGCTGATAAAAGCTGATAAGAGGCGTCTAGAGAAAAGCAAGTGATCGCTATCACACTGGAGAGCTAATCGCTTGCTCATGGGCGAAAATAGGCAGGATGAGGCGGTACCGTAGATGATGAATGATGGCTGTGGGAGCCGATAAGGAGCTTACATAGGTGAGAACTAAGTCATGACTTTTTCACGTCAGGATGACACTTTTACAGATGATAGGAAATGTTTCACTATCCAGTGCCGAGGTGCTGACACCGGCCCATACGGGCACGTGATAACGAGTGATAAGCAGCGATACAAAATGATAATGAGTGATAGGCAGCGATATAGGCATAGTCAGTTCGGATCAGCCTTAGGATTGATCGAGTTTCACTGTGGCCGTTGTTCTGTTATTAACGGCGGAGATGTTTTCCCGACCGGCTACTTAAATTGAAGCTCAACAAATGATAAGTTTTGATAGAGATAACAGAAGCAGGCCTACCTTATCAGTGATATTAACCCATTGTAAGAGCTTCCTACTACGTGGCGGTTCCTACCAGTCGTGCATAGTGGCCATACCGATCTGCTCGCCTCACACGTGATTCTTAGCTGGTTGCCTCGGAGTGCGGCATGCAATTAGAGACACTGGGTCTCAGACGAGACGACCGAAACGCAGGCAGTAGCACTGTGTTTATCAATACCAAAAGTGGAGTCGTGCATAGCCAAATAGCGAACGTTCATCTGCGGATGGGGGAAGTTTTCAAGGACTCTGCAACCTTTCCATTTCCTCTGAGCTACTTGTTTGCCGAAAGTGGGCNCAATAGGGTAGACCTAATAGGTTTTGCACGGATGTACGCTTTTGTAGTTCCCATACGGTTTATGGAGCCAGACCCATCTCTGTGTTGATCAACACTAAACAACTTACCCCGCTTCTTCAAGGTATACGCAACTGCTCTAGCCACAATAGGAGGATTGTCGGTAGAGAATGATCCTTACTCCGGTGAATAGTCTTACCTTGACGTGATGTTGATTCTCCAGGAACAGAATATCCTTCATTGTTTCATTTTTTGACCGGTCGAATATCCAGGTCAATACAGGGGTATCATTAACTCGTCGTCAGCTGTTCATAGTAGTGACTTCTGGCACTACTAGGTAAGGCCACCACAATGACTCCTCTTCGAATCGGTTTCCAACTGTTGAGAGGGACGGTAAACTTGCCGGAGAGGTGGCATCATGGCACTAGCATTAGCATTAGCAACATTAGCGACTTGGCGCTTCGCACGACGACTAACCAGAACAACAAACTAAGATACTTCGCGCGATGGGACAACTAGCTAAGAACCGATGGGTGCCTAGTACAACGCTGCACACCTCCAAGTGGTCAGAATAGGGAAGCCTGCTTCCTAATTAACGAAATCTGAGCAAGCACTTCAGCATACTGTTGAGTTTTGTCAGCACCGCGAATTTTTGAGGATTTGAGGTTTAACGTGATCAAAGCCAATCGATTTGTGCAGATTTATTTCACTAAAATCGGAAGAGAATATAACAATTACTAGTCATCATTTCTTCCCTGTAGCTCTTCAACTGGCGTGCATATTGTATCTACTGTCCTCTGAACGATGCTCATGTCTAAATCCTGAAAATTTCACTGATCAGTTCTAGAGATCTTGAACAAAACATCATTTCAAAGAAGCTTTGAGAACGGAGGTCACTGTGATTGTTAGGGTTGTCTGGGTCAAGACGCGCCATCACAATTTCTTCTTCAAACTTTGATCACGCCGCCTGAGCTACCCATGTCAGAACTCTTCAACATTTACTGACTAAGGGGTACGATAATATGCATAGATAAAGTATTCGCGAATGGAGGCGACCGAAGTGGCACGTCTTGACCCATACCTGGCCAGAGGTAGTCTTCCATAAATGCCGTCTATTTGTAGCTCTTGAATTTGTTGGAGTTAGAGGCTTCACATAACATTCTACATGGACCATTTGGGATTGAATCGTTGCCTCATAATCTTTGGTTACCACCTCTTCCTTTCTTTATTTCTTTCTCTCTTTCTTTCTTTCTCTATTTATTTATTCATTTATTTTTCTCCTCTCGAGTAGGCAAACGGCCTGCCAAGAACTCTGACCTTGTATTCGCCAGCAAAAATAACATTTTCTTCTCCTCCAGCGATAGCTATAATGTCCAATCTGGTTATGTTATATCTCCAATGCTTGGGATTAGCCATTTCTCCCACTGCCACATATATGAATTGTACACCATCATTGCGAATCTAAATATATTTGAATTACGGCTTTTTTCGAATTTTTTCTAAAAATTTTATGCTTCCCAAACGTGTGCATACCAAGTCGGCCTGCTCAAGTTGTTCGGTTCTGAATGGAATCCATTCATCAGTACTATCACAAATTTGGTATTGCCAACATGTATCTCCGCCTCCATCCGAAAGCACAACAACTGTTTTTATATCGGTCGTCTCTCTCTGAATAGCTTCAACATTGGCTTCTTGAAAATTCATTTAGTTTTCATTATAATTAGCAGTTATTTTCTACAAGAAATGGATGCATTCGAGAAAAAGTAAACTCTAAGGCTTGCTGTAAAAATTCGAAACGCTCTGATTTCTCGAATCTGACAGGGCTTTCCTTTTTGTTAGAGCTATAGGGTTCTTCATGAACTTAAACTTATACTCAAATGGAATCCGCCTTATGTTTTGTGGCAACGGCACTTCGAGAAGTACGTATCCCCTATTGATCTTGATTGATACCGATGGTGTACCGTTGTATCTCATAAAGGCTTCAGATGAAACGATTTTTGTATGTGAGCCAGGTGCTACAGCGAATGCTGCACAAGCAATGGGTTTTATCAATCGCAGGCGGCGATTCTACGGTGTTCTGACTCGTGCAATAGTTGAAAGACGTAGGTCAAAGAAACAGAAGCATGGGGCGTGGAGTTAATAGTTTGTCCATGGAATCGACCTCAGTCTTCTCCATTACAATACCACCCTAAATGTTCAAAAAAAAAACGAAAAAAACGCATTTTCGCGTTTCTTTCGTTTTTTCTCTGTAACTAGGTTGATTTCAAGTTTCTTAATATAGTGTGCTATGTGGTTGATCTCAACTCCTCGAGCTCTATAACATGGTTTATCTAAAATTTCGATAAGTTTAATTTTGAAGACCCCCATCCATCAAAGTTCCTGAGGGTACGTTATTAGCAGCGACGCCTGCTATAATTATAACCAAAGGACATACTCTTCTATTAGAAGTAGTATGTGAAACGTGGAGTAGCTAATAGTTTTGTATGTTAGGTGAAAATAAGATCAT